AATTATATTATACAGCAACCCTTTTAAGAATTTAGATTATTTTTAATGATTCTATGAAGTTTTTTAAAATATAAAAATCACTAATCTTGAAGTTGAGTGAAGCGCTCTTTATTTTAAATAGGCTATTTGGTTTTGCCTTTGATATCTCATTCGATGCATCTTCTATTCTGAAATGTCAATAAAGTTGAATCTACGTAATTCATTGTATCAAATAATCCTTGCTTTATTATTAATTTTTTTGGTAAAGTAATATAGTGAAATATATTTTGTTTTTGTATAGACAAGGAACACAGCTTAACATATTTAAAATTTTGTCTTCATTATAAGAATCGGACCACACTTATATTTGCACATATATATATATATATATTCCATAGTTTCTTGAATTATATTGTCTTATGTATGTGGATATATATTGTGGCATTTTGATTCTTGAAAAGACAAGTTCATGTTGTTGCCCACTTGCCCATAATAAGGAAAAGAAGGTGACAATGAAAACAAACATATATATCTCTTTGTCTCAGCCAAATTTTTTTTGGCAAAAGAACAACATATTGTACACCCTCTCCACCATATGCACTTTCATCAAAATGAGGTTCATACATATTTTTTTATATAAAAGATATGATATGATATTCCAAAAAAAAAAACTGCAATTAGATTATTATATATAGTTTGATAATTGGCACATGTGGATGATGTATGTAATAAGACTTTGAGCTATGGAAAAGATCTTTCTTCTTATAATATGTTTATTGTCTAAAAAAACAAACGATCTAGCGATTGAAAAAATAATGGGTAATTTTATATGAATGTGGACACAAAATTGAGGATTGATTAGGCCCAAAATTGAACACCTCCGCATCAAAATGAGGTTTTTGATGAAAGATATGATATTCCACAAGAATTTTTAAAAAAAAGCTGCAATTAATAGAGCAATGGAGGATTATGTATAGTTTGACATATAATTGTGACATGTGATGCATGTAAGAAGACTTAGCTGTGTAAAGATTTATCTTCTTCTCATAATATGTTTATAATCTACAAACAAATGATTTTACGAGTTTTTTTTTTCAAAAGACATGGGAACTACGGTCCCTTTTTACTTGTTCACTTTTGAATTGACACACCTATTAAGAAAATAATTAATGACGTAGTGAGTTTACCATTTTACCCCTATTAATTATGAAGTGGATGAAAAATTCTACATTTTTCATAGTAATTAGTCATTTAATTGTGGGTATAATAGGTAAAAAAAATTATCCTTTCTTGATTTGTCAAAATGGACAAGTAATTAGGGACAGCTATAAAAGGAAAAGTGAACAAGTAATTAGGAAAGGAGGTAGTAACTTTTAGGATTGTGATAGACATGGGTTATATTCTTTAAACTATATTCATGCATCGGATATGACAAACTTCAAGTGATTCCAAGTTACAAGAAAGTAAAGAGTTAAACTTATGAAAACTAGTGGTGTCCTCAGGGAAATAATAGCTTTGGGTAATATTTTCTGGGATTTGCGTGTGACACTGGTAGAGATCCGACAAGTGAAGCAAAGAGGTAGAGTTAGCAACCCATCATATTACTTGTTTTTCCCTCTTCTATATTGACAATAAGGTAGTAGTTTTAAAGGATATATGGCCGTATTGGGAGTAGGATAAATAATCAGGCAAATAACACATAAATCGCAATTCAACTAGGACTAGTTGCAGATTGATAGCTCTACAATGAGCTTTAGTACTGAAGTTGCATAACAGTTCAATGTTATTGCGTGTTGTTCAATCTAGTTGCAGTTCAAACAGCTTCTCCCATTTGGCTTTGTCATATATCATATAGCTTTCATTTTAGTGTTGTTTACCTATTGCTTCACTCTATATCACCTTGTTGCAGTTGCAACTTCTATGGAAGTTAGAAGCAGATGCCAAGGACTGAAACCCCACTAGCCAAACACCACTTCAAATAACAATACGAAGAGACCTTACGATCAACATATATCTCCAGCAATATGTAACTAAAGTAAAAATTGGATCAACTCGTCTTCACTGAAGAACAAAGTTTTACTGCAAAAGTTAGGAAGAACAATATCTAAAGGTTCAGAAGCAAACATTTAAGAACATATTTACTACTACATAACGATTGCTGAAAGAAATCTACTACTATATATTCCCAACTCCATCACTAGAATATGAAAACATTGCCCGGCTTCATTCAAATGCCCAAGCATTCTCCCTCCTGACCTCCTCCTCTTCCTCCGGAGTGAAGTCGTTCTTGATGTTAAAAGTCTTTCGAATCTCCTCCGGAGTCTTTCCTTTGATCATGTCTGCCACAGTCTGACAGGTCAGATCAAGCAGACTCTTGATATTCAGGTAGTTAGCCGCCTTACAAGTCACAACAACAGAACGAATTAGAATCTAAAGCAAATCACCAATATACCATTACAAAGTGAGGAACCAAAGAGCACATAACAATGGGTTAAAGCAACCAACTATATTTATCAGGGCTCCACAGTTCATCTGTAGATTGTTTTAGATTACTTCTACTATCACAACAAGAACACACACAGTGTAGTCCCACAAAGTGGAAATAGGGGGAGGGTAGAGATTACTTCTATTAGCATTGATATATTAATATCGGTGACGGTGGAAGCAAATATTAAACTAGTTATTGAAAGAACATTTGGCTTCCAAAATAATAATAATAATTAGTGAAGTAAAATGAATGTATCACACTCTTTGGGACTCAATATGATTGCCAGATCAAGAGAGTGAAACATACACAATAATGAGCCACCACTCAAAGGGGTTCAGAATTCCCAAAAGTACAGTATCAACAATAAGAATAAAGTTTGTATCAGAAGAAATTATAGGGATGCTATCAGCCTATACTTGTAAAATGCCCAAAAGTTGAAGTTAACTTTTTCAACAACAACAAGAACACACAAAGTGGGAACTGGGGAGGCTAGAGGTTACTTTATTAGTGACAGTGGAAGCAAATACTAACTATGAATTAGGTCATACATTTTGAGACTCTATAATATGAGTGTCAAATCAAAACTGTATACTATATACCTGATCAGCCAGAATTCACATAACTACAGAAACAACAATAAGAACAAAGTCTACATTAAAGGAAATTATAAGCATGCTATCAGCCTATACTTGTAAAATACCTAAAAATTGAATTATAGTATGCGAATGAACCCTAAACAATCAGGCAAATAAAACTATCAATCAATCAATAAGTACAACGAAGGCATAAAAATAGATCTGAATACACAAACAATTAAAGCAAAAGAGAAAGGAAACATCGCATAAAAAGTAAAAGTACAGAGAAACCCTAAAAACAGAAAATGGGGCAAACCAATCACAAGCATAAAAAATTAAACCGAATACACAAACAATAGAAGCATCAGAAACAGAAATCGTAAAACAAGCCATATAATCCTGAAACAGAAAATCAAACAAATAAACCAGCAATCAGTCAAAATCAGTACAGCAAAACCATAAAAAATCAACATAATAAAAACAATTCCACAGTAAAACTGGAACCATACCAGAATCAGATCAAAAAGAGTTCCCTGATCAACTTTAACAAATTCAGCATCAAAGACCTTCAATTCATCCTCAGCGGCCTTGTCCTCTGTCTTAGACGAGGCTTCGACATGGCGCTTAGAGTACTCAATCACCTTTGCCAAGATCTTGCTTGTAACATTAGGGAGAGGGATGTTAGAGCCGGCGCAATCGTCCTCAATCAAGTGCTTGATGGTCTGCGATTCCAAAGCAACCGCCTCATCCACCTCGAAAACCTCACCATCAGAACTCTTCAACAAGATCTTCGTCGGAGTAGACATAGTCGGTCGATGATAAATATCAAACCCTAAAACTGATGACGAGAGAGAAAACGGATGAGTTTTTTTTTTGTGAAAGCAAAAAATAAGAAGTACAGTAGAAAGGGTAATAGATATATAGAGGGGCCTGTTTGGCAATAAATTATTCAAATAATATTTGAGAAAAAAATTGACAATTAATGTTTGTTCATACAATTTGTTATTATTTGGCAAGTACTTTTGGTAAATATTTTAAATTTTTAAATACTAATTTTTCTTAATATTTGGATCAAATCTCATTATTTGGGATGTTTTAAAAATTAAAATTTTAACCCAAATTTTTATCTTTTATAAAAACACCTTCTATAATAATTGTTTGCGTTGTATTACGTAATTTTTTACTTGAATATCAAAATAGTGATCAAATACTTAGTGAATATTAAACAATAATATGATTGTTGATGAAAATGATGAAAAATTATGAAAAATTAGCTCAATGTAACAAAGTCATGTGTTTTGTCTACGTCACGATATATTGAATGATGTTTATTTCACTCACTCCAAATTACTACATTGCTCTAGTGTCATCGACACTATTTGTTATTGTTTTAACGAACATCTAAAAATGTGGTATCTCTTTTCCAAATTTTATAATCGTATCACATGGTGAAATAAACACTGATATATTCATCCGAATAATATTTAATAAGAATATTTGAAAATTTACGTGATAACATAGTTGTATTGCAAAGTTTTGATCATTCAGGTTAAAAAAGTTTGGCCTTTTCGGCTTCACCGACTCGATTTTCTTTTAGTTAAAATAAAGAAGTATTGTTTACTTCTGGCTTCACAAGTTATCTCCACATATATGAAATTTCTTTTTTAAGAGTTTTTATAATTATAATAGTATTTGCTTTTTTATTATTCGAATAGAAAATAACTTCTCAAAGCATATAAATAATCGAATGTTTAATTTGAACTTCGACTGTGAAATATCCACTTTCAAATATAATAATTAAAATACTTTTCTAGGTGATATGTTCAGTAGGAACTTAAAAATATATTTTATTTATTAAGATAGAAATAATAGAAGTCTATATATATTTTGATATACAATTAAATTTTGACATGAGAAAAAAATTGCAAAATGGATAATAAATAAATATACGCACAGCAAAAAGAAATTATCAAATCTTCGTTGAATAACGACTTCAAGTTGCATAGCAAAAGTTGTGAACAAGAAAGTAATATCTAAAGGTTTCAACAACAAAACATTAAGAAAACAACAAACATAACACTAGTTGATAGAAATCTACTACAATTCCAGCACCAGAATACGAAAACATTGGCAGAGCTTCATTCAAATGCCCACGCATTCTCCCTCCTAACCTCCTCCTCTTCCTCTGGAGTGAAGTCGTTCTTTATGTTGAAGGTATTGCGAATGGCCTCTGGGGTCTTACCTTTGATCATGTCAGCCACAGTCTGGCAGGTCAGATCAAGCAGACTTTTGATGTTCAGATAGTTTGCAGCCTGAAATGTCGCAAAACAGTGTGCACTATAATTGAAAGCATAGCATTACAAAGTGAAGAAACAAAGCATATAAACAATGGGTTCAAGCGACCAATTCCTATCCTCGCATTGTTTCTATACACACAGCATGAACATGAACACACCTGGGGAGGGTAGAGACTATTCCTATTCTCACATGTTATATTAGTGACAATGACAGGGTAGCAAATATTAAACTGTAGCTGTTGAGAGATCAATTATCATATTCACTTCCAAATTTTAATAATGATAATTATAATAAGGAAATGAACAGTTTAACACATACAATGATCAGCCACTTATAGGGGTTGGGATTTCCAAAACTACAGAATGAACAATAGGAACAAAATCTACATTTTAAAAGAAATAAGAAGCATGTTGACGCCCCCCTAATGCCTAAAAATTGATGTAACTTGTAAAACATGAACACACAGAGAGGGAACTGGGGCGGGTAGAAGATACTTCTATGAGAATAGTATGTCAATATTAAATCTGAATTGGGGTCATACAGTTTGGGACTTTACAATTTAAGTGCCAGATCAAAAGTACACAACATATCCAACGTTCAGCCAGAATTTTCACAACTACAGAATCTACATGTTATCACCCTATATTTGTAAAATGCCTAATAGATGCACTATAGTATGCGTATGAACCCTAAACAATTAGGATAAATAAATCAAATAAGTATAACAAAGGGCTTAACAATGCAACTGCATACACATACACAGATTATTTTTATTAAGCATCGCATAAAGGTGCGACTACGGATACACCCTAAAAACCCAGACAAACAGGAAAATCAACAAGCAGCATAAACAATTAAACCGAATACACAAACAATAAAATCAACAGAAGCAGAAATCGTAAAACAGAGCATATAACTTCAGATGAAGTTTATAGCAAAAAACCAGGCAAACAGTAGAAATCAGTACAAACAAAATCATAAAAAATTAACGACGAAAAGAGTAAAAATCAAACCATACCAGAATCAGGTCAAAGAGAGTTTTCTGATCAACTTTGACAAATTCAGCATCAAAGACCTTCAAAGCAGCATCAGCGTCGGCGCCCTCTGTCTTAGATGTGGATTCCTCTTCCACATGGCGCTTAAGGTACTCGAGAACCTTTGCCAAAATGTTGCCAGAAACATTGGAAATAGGGATGTGCGAACCGGCGCAATCGTCCTCGATCAAAAACTTGATGGTCTGAGATTCCAAAGCAACCGCTTCCTCCACCTCGAAAACCTCGCCATCGTTGCTCTTCAACAAGATCTTCTTTGGAGAAGACATAGTCGGTCAGTGGGTCGGTGAATCGAGGAAGAAAGCAAACACTAACGGAGAGAGAAAACGGTTGAGTTTTGTTACAAAGCACAAGTGAGTGAGTGAATGAGGGGAGGGAGACTATATATAGGCGTTTTATTGTAAGTAACCGTTTTAATTTTACTGTGGTAATTCTCTTTAATTTACCACCCTCCTAAAAGTTATACCTTTTCGGCTCCATCGACCTAATTTTTATATATATATATATATATATATACACAATTCTCTTTAATGTACCACCCTCCTAAAAGTTATACCTTTTCGGCTCCATCGACCCGACTAATTTATTATATATATATATATATATATAATTGTAAGTTTTCTTTTCTTCTTAAGAGATTGTCTTGAGTAGAAAATAAAAAAGGTAAGAAAATTTGTCAAAATTTTTAAAAGGATAATAAAATTTACTATCGAGTTAAAAGAATAATTTTCTAATTGTGAATTTAATATTGTTTAATTTAGGGTTTTAATTAGGACAGTCACAGTAAGGCGAGGAATTTCATGTGTTTGTAACGCTCAGCGGCCATTAGCCATTTTCTAATTGTAATTTAACACCGTTAAAATTAGAATTTAAATTAGGGCAGCTATCGCAAGGCACTTGTAAGACAGCCTTCATTAGCCATTTTTCTAATTGTATTTTAACACCGTTTAAAGTAGGACATCCATTATAAAATGCGAATTTCATGCGCCGCAAGACATGAAATTTCACGTGCTTTGTAATTAGGGTTTAAACTTGTTATTAGCCTTACAAGAAACGTGAAATTCCACGTCTTGTAACGGCTGTCCTAATTTAAACAATATCAAATTTACGAAAGTTGGCCTTTTAATTCAATGATCAATTTTATTGCCCTTTTAAATTTGTTAATAAATTATCTTACCCTTTCAATTTTGAACTCAAAATTTTTTGCCCTTAAAATTTTATGATAGTGTTTTAATTGAGATTTCACATAAGCATAAATAAATAATTCTTTTTTGTGTGTCTCTCACAATCTTTTATTTTTAGAACTTGCATAATATTTTTATAGTAAATAATAGTAATAATTCATCGTCAAAGAGTATAATTAAATGACTTCTAGAAAGAGCATATTTTCTTTTACGTTATATAAAATATAAATTAATTTAGTGTTTGACAGTGCTTGGAAAATCAAAAAATAAATAATGGAGTAACTGAATTGATCCAACTGTGATTGTTTTTCTATTTTTGCATTTTTCTATCTGTGGAATTTGGATAATATCATTCTTTTTCTTTCTTTGGATAATGCCAAATTCCTTTTGAAGCTAAATTATCATGATTATGCTCCATTGTTACTTTGTCCATATTTGTCATATGAGTTAAGAAGTCCAGAAGGAGAAAATAATGAATATTTTTGTTAGTAGGAGAATTACTTGTAAACAAGTCAAATATGGAGTCGATTTTTTAAATGATCACCCAAATTTAAAAAGTTATTTTAAAATATCATTCATATTTAGAATTAAAACATCACTCAATTATTATTATTTTTCTCTAAATATACTTGATATTTCAAAAGTCTTCCTCTCTTCTAGTTGGTATGACATGTCATTAAAAAAAATTAAATAATAAATTATTAATTTATTTTATTAAACTCATTTAACTAAAATAATGATCATATTATTTCTTTAAATATATATTAATTTATTAAGAATAAATTTCATACTTAAAAATCTTTTATCAGAATTTAACTTTTTATTTTATTAAAAATAGATTTTTGAAAACGTACTATAATATCTTCAATTTTTAATACTTATAAATATATATAGTTAAAATATATTGATATACAAATCACTCAAAAAAAAAAACTATTACATCAAGTAATCATAAATTGCATAATGAAGTCAACAATATTAAAGGTTGATTAACTATTACAATAATGTTAATTGTGTACTTTGAAATTCATGCTTACCATTTTTTTTTTGAAAAAAATTATAAAGAATAATATTATATTTATTCAAAATAAAATAAGACTAAATACCTCAAAAGTCTCTTTCTATTTTAGTTGTTATATCATATCATTAAATCATGGTCTTGAAAATAATTTAATTTATCAAACTTACGTCTCCACAAAATAAATATATAAATTACATGAGATTTATGAAGATTATAAAAAAAAAGTCTAATTCCTAAATTTAATGAAAGAACTATTGTGTACAATTATTACATGGTAATTTAAAATTCTTAAGTAAATTATTTAAAAAATTTATGCAATTTTTTCACAAATAAATTTTTATGGATGAAAAAGAAATTGGTAAGAAAAAGAAATTTTAATTTTAATTTTCTATATTGCATTATATTTTAACTTCTTATACAATTAAATACATTCTTGTTGAAAGTTGAAACCATATTATAAGTTTTGTCATTTCTTCAAGCTTATTATCTCCTGGAAATTTACTAAATATTTTCTGGCCAACTCCCTGATGTCGCAAACAGGGGCTGAGCCTAATAGATCACATCTGTGTTAAAACAAGAAATTGCGTATAAAATTTGTGTCCTAATTATAGCAAAATCATGTAAACCAAATGAGAGACATAGTATAGCAAGCTTGAAATATATATAGACATTTCCAGTAATTTGGCATATATGTTGAATCACTTAAAAACATTTCAACTTCACAGCTTCGAAACAGGTAAGCCTGCAATAATAAACCATAATGTATTTAGCAAATTGACACAAATTTGCACTTCCTTACGAATTCCATAAACGAGTTGATTACCTAAAGCTTTTGAATTCACAATGCTAGGGCATGCAGCAGGGGGCGGTGCATTCTCATTTAAGAACGGTTCCACGCTGTTTGGATTACTCCAAATTGGGTAGCCTTTAATTTTTCCCTGTAACATCATCAACATTCAGAATCCAAAAACACAACAATGTCACTGTAATTTTCAGCACAATAGTGTCCTTAATTTTGATTCAAAATTCCGTACCAGAACATTCAAAGCGGCCAGGGTAGCCATTCCCTCGCGAGTCCACTGCATTAAGAGTCAGGAGATTTTAGTTTTTTCTTACGAAATGGACACACTTATAAAAAAAAATCACAAGAATTGGCGAATTAGATGAGAAGTAGCTATCATAGCAGAAAATTGCTTCTTAATTTACACAGATAAATACATAATACGCGCAAAAGTACCTTAGAAGCAGAAGCTATGTGGGGTACCACAACAGCATTCTTCATGTCTGCAAGGCCGGGTTTCATGTAGGGCTCATCCTAAGACAACAAGATCATCAAAGAAGAGAATTACTTGAACGCATAAGACAGGGAAAAAGCATCCTACACTCTACTCGTGTAGGTTACTTTGAGAGCTTTTTGTTTGGTTGAAATGGTGCATTTTACATGTTCACAACGGCAGAACTACTGTCATTACCTCAAAGACATCAAGGCCAACACGGAACATGGGATTTTCCCTCAGATGCTCAACAAGAGCTACTTCATCAATAACAGGCCCCCTACTACAGTTCACAAGTATTGCTTCCTACAAGTTTGGTTTAAGTAATATCATGATATCACATTTTTTGTGTAAATCAGCAAGCAAAATAGATATATTCACTACCTTCTTCATCAGTGCCAGCCGTTCTTTGTTCACAAGATGGTACGTTGTTTTATCAAGGATTGGATGTAGACTTATCTAGAGAAGCATTTTGATCAAGACAAGAAATTGAATGAGAATCCAGTAAATATGTATAAAGATAAATGAATAAGAAATCTTATAGTGCATTCTCGATGTACATAATTACCACATCAGCCTCTTGGAGGACCTCCTCCATGGATGAAGCCCTTTTCCATGTTACAGGTTGTTCACCATTGGCTTTCAAAAACTGACCATAGGCTGCAAAGGCGAGAAAACATATAAGTACATGCAATGAGCTTGAGAAGTTTGTTGATGTAACATTGATTAAAACATGCCTGTCACAAATTTTTCTAGACGAGTAGATTGATATAGGTCGTAGTATATCAAGTTCATTTTGAAGCCTTCAACCTGTTGCAATAAAACACCAAAGTTGCTCCAATTAACATAGCAAATTTACATACAATTTCTTAATCATGGGTTCCAGCGATCACGAAGTTTTTGAAACAGTTCAAAGAAAACTTAAAGAGGATTATACTAGCGCTGATTACCATCATTCTAGCATAAGCAGATCCAATACGACCAGCCCCAATTACGCCAACCGTTTGTCCTTTAAGTAAGTTCCCCACAAACCTGGCAATGAAACCATTTAAGATTTAGACCTAAAGAATTCAGTTATAGACCTGCGAAGACACAATAAACAGAATTGAAGATTTTCATACAAATGTGGAAGCCATCCTTCATATTTTCCAGCTCTCATGAACTCATCTGCCTCCACAATTCTTCTCGCTGCAGCTAAAGAAAGTGAAGCCGCTAACTCTGCTGTAGTCTCTGTCAGTACTCCCTGATCATAGAGCATTGCATCAGAAGATCAAAGGATGCCTCTACAGATATGCACATATTCAGAACTCAAATAAGTTTTCTTGTATCATTTACCATACCGATCAAATCTATTTGATCCAATAAAATCACTCCTACTGCATCTACAAGCTGAGGATTAATTTAACACACGTGTAGACCCTTCAGGACAACTAATGTGCCTTGTTTCTTTTCTAAAAGAAATGTTTTATCAACTTCAAATTCAAAGTGAAATGGGGCATTTCCTCATAACAGAAATTCCAGGTACAAGACCTTATATGACAAATAAAAAAACTTGCTATTAAGAGGATACATAACTGACTTTAAATTTGATATTATACTATTGATTCATTGTTATGTGTTGGGTTAAATGCCAGTTGGATAGGTGTCGGCAAAGATTTTCAGTGGTTTTGATAAGTTTAAACAATTTCATCTTCGACTTTCTAGTCATCCTCCATTCATCCAGAGGGGGTCCAGGATCGAGCTATGTGGGCTTAACTGAACTCATTGCTTTTGGCTCTAACTATGTATTCATATGCAAAACAAAATATAGATATAAAAAGAGAGAGTCAAAAGAATATATGATTAGACATGTCAAGCATTTAAGACATTACAAGCTAAGATGTCTAATCTGTAATG